TATTCATTATTGAGTGAATTTTAACGTATCACCTATTGTATATTCTCTAAATTTTATTTGTAATCTCGATAGGTTGAACGTGAATCTATTGACTTAATCGACAAAACTCTTGCTGTTTATAACAACGAAATGTTATGTGTTGCTGGAATTTTATCAAGAATTTTGTACGAAGATGAAATGAGTCAAATATCTAAAGTTTACAGAGAAATTGTTGGTTCGAACGCAAAAACAGATGAAGCTACAAATTCGGCGCGTGAGTGGCTTGAAAAACGAGCTGCACACGCACTTTCACACTTTACATTTAAACCTAGCACCCCTAACCCTCATGTTGGCCAAATTATTGAGTTTCAATTTTTAAATTGTGCTTCTCAGCTCTTGTCTATTTTATCAACTACTGGAGTTCAACCAATTAACTTAGTACGAATGCCTAACTCCGAAATGGCAGCTTTCATCAAAACTATTCCTGTAGTTCCCAAAATTATCATGGAACAATGTGATGTATTTATTAAAAAAGCAAGAAATAAGATGAATATCATTAAAGACATTTCACTAGGAGATGTCTTTAATGAATTACAAAGTCGTACTCTCTCCCAAGAGGACACTGTTGCACTAATGAAGTGGTGGATAGGTTATCGATCTAAAGAAAATCGAGTTTCTGAATCGGATGTTCAGCAGTTATTAAAACTTGCCGTAGTTTGTATTAACGATAATGTGATACCATTAAATAAAATTCAGTACTGGTTAAATCCTTCTGTAGTTCCGCCAGATTATGAGGTTCCATCTAATGTATTGCCTTATTCAATAAGTAAATCATTTCAAAAAAATGATATCGAAAAGTGGTTCGGGTAAATATATATATTTATTTATTAGTGTTTGTGTCTTAATACGCAGATTCTTGTTCTTATTGGTTACTTATTTTTTTTTCCTTCCCTAGTGGGTGGAAAGAACTTTCACTTGCTACCTGGACACAATACATTGCATCCAAACCCCAACTGGAAAATGATCCCGACTTTGCGGAAAAAGTTCTAGGAATAATTGCAAGAAGTTTTCAGAAATGTTCATCAAACGACCAGAATATGAT